CATAGCGAGAACATAAACAACTTTGTCCTCACACAGAGTTCCACCAACCTCTACACCCTCCGGACTTCGCGTGTGTTTGACGCTGAACGCGAGACCATTGTCACCACGACCATCAAGTGTCGGGACTCCGGGTCGCCACCTCAGTCCTCCTTCCGTGTTGTGACGCTACGCATACTGGATGTAAATGAATTTCCACCCGTGTTTTCGCCTCGAGTGCTGCATATGCAGGTCAGTGAGAACTCGCCCGCAGGCCTGGAAGTAGCTAAGCTCACTGCCACAGACCAGGATGATCAGTCCCAACTGCGCTATGCCCTCCTTCCCATCCCCCACTCCACCGGACCCACTTATGACTCCAACTCAGACCTTGGTTCTGATTCGTCGTCCTCGTACGGCGGCGGCGATGCAGGCGCTAACGCTGGAATCAATCGACATTTTGTGCTGGATCCCAATTCTGGTTTCTTGCGTACCAGTCGGGTGAGTTTGGCTTCCTGTCTGTCTCTCTCCATCTTTTTATAGCAGTCGGTGTTTTCGGTTTGTTTCCCCATGTTTTGGGCGAATTTTCGCGGATGCAGAGTGCTTAATGCGTCTAGTCATTTGAATCTATTAGGTTGAATGGGTTCCTCACGGAAAGACTCCTCGTAGGTTAGTGGGTGGTCGTCTTTCGATGTATACTTCACTTAGGGCTCTTTCTCGCTCCCAATGACGAAGATGAGTATTTCCCGGCAGAGACTGCACGCTTGAGCTTTTTAACGAAACGCGTCTGCTTCCTGATACGCCTGAGCAGTTTTCGCAACTTCGTCGATCGAGATTGCTCAACCTTTAACAACCGCTAGCCACTACCAAGACCGCCACTTAGTCGTAGCTACTGCTTTAAATTGTGTTCGTTTGCTCGATTCATCAATATCGTACCCTGTAGAGGGAGGATGTCAAGGGGTGGGAGACAAAATCGTTTTACTCTGGTTTTCCTTGTTTTTTTTGACAGGAAAACTCTCCTTAAATGTTAGTTGCCAATTAAAACGCATGTATAAAGCGGTTCGAATTCAAGTAATAAGGGCCTAAATCGAAAACGCATTAGCATTTCACGTGTCAGGTCTCATTTCCACTTTTGAGATTCAATCAGCGTTCGCCTTCCTTGAAGTTCGAGGATAAGTCTAGAGTAGCGTCTTGAAGTTATCGTTTGTAGACTTGGGTTCGCAGATCATTACTTATGAAGGTCTGGAACGGATATTCGTGCCTGCCAAAGCGACTTGATGCCTTAGAGCAGGCCTGCTGCGCAAATTGGATTTTTTCCTTTTTATCTGCTTAATAACCCACAACGCGTCCTCTCCCAAGAAGCCCGAATTTCCCCCACTTCGGTACTGCAGACAGCCTTTTGTCGTAGTTCAGGGGGCGGGGGTTACACATACGATTCGTTTTCGGACAGACGTTGCCTGGTCGGGGTAGCAACCTGCGCGATCCCGATGGCGTCAGGTGTGAAACAACTATTTTCAATTATCACTTTTTATCGGAGCCCGTGTTCTTCATGACTTTGCTGAAATGAGCACTTTCTATTCTACGCTTTTGATCCGAACAGAACCGACACGTTGCGCAATTTCCGTCGGATTGACCCAGACATAATCCTGGTTCTTGTAAGGAGAGGGAAGCAGGCTGGGTAAATTCGATCTAGTGCACTTTCTCAACTGATAATTCCGTTGCGCCCTTAGGGGCTATGACGATGACTTAAAATAGCTGCCAGCTGGTGGGGTAAATCCATACTACGCAGAGCTAATCGTCAACCTACAATTATTTTATTTTTTTAACTAGAAAAGTATATTTGACAAACCTGTTTTTTTCTGTAATTAATAATCGGTCTGATGCAATTGCATTGATTATGAAAATAAGAGGTCTGGATAGGGTTTATCAATATCTTATGATTAGAAATAATAATTTTCAAACTTCCCGCATATCGAAATCGACATGTGGAGGTCATTAGACTAGGGAAAAGGGGAAAATAAGGTAGATTGCGAGTATTGGTCATGGGTCGAGTACGCGGAGGGGAAATCATTGTCACGTGCACGGAATGAGCAACTGTCCCCAGGGAGTGGGGATAACATACGATCAGGACCTGGCATCGGCCACGGAAGAGGGATCGCCTGTACTAATTTCTTAACGCAACATTAACGGTATCCGTGTGAGTCAACGATGAGCACGTGCGTGGCACGTGTAACTGTGACCTTGGACACTGCACACTCGCATTTTTGTTCATCTTGGTATTAGGACATGATGGGATGGGAGTAATGAGTTAAATACTGCCCTAGTCTGTTCCGCTGCTGAAATTGCTACTACGCCGTCTTCTAAACAGGGTTAGTGTTCGTCGCCTTGGAGAAAAAAAAACTCGTGATGTACTTCAGTACTGTAAATGAAACTTGGAATTTTGTCGGAATTCGATGGGCTCTGTCCGACCAAGGTTCTATGTAAGCACTGAAAT